GAAGTTTCCAGCCGACAAGTTGCATTTAATCATATGCTACTATACATGAACTTCTGAATTAAATGTAATCATTAGAAAGCTGGGATTTGGAAGTAAAAATTTCAATACTTCTTTATAAAAATGTTGATTCTCACTCAGATAATAGTTAACATTTTAATGTTGCACCAGTAAACTTAGATCAATGTAGTAACTGCCTAAGGAGGAGAAGTGTTACCAGAGACCCCAACAGATGTTACATTCATTGTGCAGTGTATGAACCAGGCCATTGCATGATAAAAAAAAAAAAATGGCAAACAGGCCACAAAAATTAAATGTGGAACTTCTTCATAGCATTTACTTTTGAATGTAGAACATATTAAAACCAGACTGGACTGCACAGCTTGCCTTTAAATTTGCCAGGGCTCAGGGAATCCATCATCTCCCCATGAGTGTGGACCTGTACAGTCCATCATCGAGCTTGTATAGATTTGCTAGTGCATGGGAAATCCATTGGTGTTCCCAGTGCCTGGCTGCCCAGCTCGGTTTTAGAGGCCTAAGTGTATGATGGGATCTGAAGAATGTGAGGAATTTTTTCTCAGATTCCAAAAATTTTATGCCCTGTTATGACAGATCTTGAAAGTCTAGCATGGCCAGATGTCTAACATGGCCAGTCTAGCATGGCCAGATGGATATTTTACTACCACTTGGCTAAATACATGAAAAGTGTCACTTTGTTTAAACAGTTATAGAATGAACTCAAACAACATAAATTAGACACTTATTTCCACAAGCTCAGTAGTAATTGTTAATTTTAGGTTCTGTCCTGTGTGAAGGACTTTTCCTCATTTTCTGATAGAAAAAAAAAAATTATCTGTATCAGTTTTAAATGCATTTACCCTGATGGATGTGTGTTTTTCTGTTTTTATTACACAGGCTACGCTATACCTCAAATAATATTTTTTTTGTACAGTGCATTATTAGACATATGGTATATTGTCTATTTGCTGAATGAATGCATATAGTATTTTTTGTATCTAATTCAAATTCAACCAAATCCATTTGAGGTCTTTTATGAGGAAGGCCTAAAAAGTTGCTATATAAAGCCTAGGTTCTTTAAGCACTACATTCGAAAGTTTGTTGGTAACAGCAACATTTCTGATGGTGCATTTCAGCTATTGGTACTTGAATTTCCACCCCTCCCCTAGGCTACTGGGGCTGGTTCTCAAAAAGTTAATTCTTCATGCCAGAAATACAATTTCACAGATTTTTGGGGGCCACGGATTCCAGCTTTAGGATTGCTGATCTCACGGACAAGTCCTGAAGTCATCTTGGTTATGAAACATTTGTATTGCTAACAATGGAAATACAAAGCAGTATGAGTAGGAAAGCATGGCACTATTTAATAATGCTTTTTTTTTTTTTATAGAAATGCTTATAGTCAAGTGCTTTCCAGTGGAAATTAGGTTCATTGTCCTCTTTCAGATATGAAAAAGGTGGTCTGTGGAGTGGTGTAATAGTGATTGCTTGAAGGTTTTATGGGAGGTTGGTGGCAAAGCCACTTTACATAATAAATTATATTTATTGCTATAATGGGATGTGTAAAATATTTTGTATTCAAATAGTTATGAATAATCAGTCTATATTCAATATGTTAAGTGTGATTTCATATGATCTTCCTGTAAGGTACAGAATGATTGGCATCTGTATTACTACAAACTAGCCTACATTTTTAAATATAATAATTAACATGATTCATTATGAACAGCTGTATTTATTCAGCTGAAACAAAAATAATTTCTCGTTTCAGTGCTCACCATTAGGTATGCATTTGGTGTGCTGCTTCTTAACCATTGTGTCGAGTTACTGTTACTTGAAACAAATGAGTCTTACTACAGAGTTATATCAGTAACAGGTTCTAAATGTAGCTAGATTCCAAAGACAAACATACAAGATACATGAACAAGTTCTTGTTGACCTATACAGTACCTGCTTTATAGTAGGTTATATGTCTGCTACTATATTTTGATAAATAGCTTGGCTCTAAAAGCTCTGTCCAAAGTGCTGAAATCTTACATGATGTATGAGCAAGTCTAGCTGATAAATTCTGATGTCAACCTGTGTGTGATAGTGATTCATCAGGTTTGTAAAATTGGTGTTCAGTGAAACATATTGAATTTATATAGATCCAAATTGGGGGTAATTTAGAATTAGTACAGGAGCGTTCTTTCTGTTTTAAAGATATTTAAAAATATTTATGTATTTTCAGAAACAGCTAGGACTTAATTTCATGTTAAGATGGCATTCTCTGATTTAAGTTATTCATTAGTAATAGATAAAATGAGATGACTGTTCTGTACTAGAAATGTTTTTAAGTGAATGCTATTTTGACAGGATGCAACAAACATATCACAAATTGACACAAAAACAATTAAAAGGAAAGTATTATAACTTTTTAGCTTCTGGACTACAAAAATGCTGCCAGTGATTAAGAACATAAGAAGTACCATACCGGTTCAGACCAACAGTCCATCTAGCCCAGTGTCCTGTCTCCGATGCTCTGAGGGAGAGCAATGAGCTGGGTGCCCAAGTGCAGGTGAGCTGGACCTGATGATCTGGAAAGTCCCTTCAACCCCTAACATCTATGGAATCTATGAAATCTCTAGAGTGATCCATCTCCTATTCAGTACTCTTCCTGTTATTCCCTGCTATTGGTTTAGAGATGCCATGGGAAACATCTCCAACTATTCTGTTCAGTAGCCATTGATAGATCTATCATCCATGAATTTATACAGTTCTTTTTTTCAACCTGGTTATGCTGTTTGCCTTTACCACCTCCTATGGCAACGAATTCCACAAGTTAACTATGTGTTGCACAAAAAAGTACTTTCTCTTGTTAGTTTTAAACCTGTCACCTACTGATTTCAGCAGGTAACCCTATCTAGTATTCTGGGACTTTGTGAACAATCATTCTCTATGCATATGGCCTGGTTTAAACCACAATTTTGCATGTTTTGTGAAAATCACAAAATTGAGTGATTTTCACAAAAAATAAAAGCAATTTGCAATGAAATGCCATATGGCCGCTTGCTGGGGAGTTCTCCAGCAAGCAGCCATATCATAGCATTTTGTTGCAACAAGAGGGCTGCTGCAGTCTGGGAAAGTATTCTCCAGCCAGCAGCAAAAGCCTAGCAGCCCAGGGGAGGGGAGAAGGAGTCACAAAAGGGACAGGGTGAAAAGAGAGCTTGAGGATGGGTAGAAGAGGGACTGTTTACTCCTCAGGGCAGGAAAATTGGGGCATGAGGGTTGGGTGCACCTGGGGGCTGTCTGAGGAGATGGCTCTGGTGTCACATAGGGGATGGACTGTTTGCTCCTTCTGGTGGGAAAACTGGGGCACCAGAGATTGGGTGCGGGGGAGAGAACACACATAAGAGGAGCAAACTGCCTCTCCCCAACACAGTGCTAGAGCCAGCTGCCAAGGCATTTCCCAGGTACCCTCAACCTCCCGCACTCCAGTTTGCCCACCTGGAGGAGTAAATAGCCCCTCTGCTACCCAGTATCAGGGCTTTTGCCTTAAGGCAGCTAGCAGCTTCTAAGCTCAGACTCACTGCCGATTGGCTGGGAGCCCAACAGAGCAGAGTGGCATTTTTTAAAAGGGAATGTCCTTCCTACCTGTCAGAAATAACACAGATAAGATGGTCCACTACTGCTGGTCCTGCCTCTTTCAGTGAGGTTGGGGGGGAAGGAGGGGGGTGCTTTTCAGCAGCAATCAGAGGCCTTAGAAGCAAGGCCTTAGCTTCTGCAATTAAGCCTGTCCCTTAACCTCCCCTCTCAGCCAGTCAGGGGGCAAGGTGGGGGAGTGTGCACCATGATTTGGGTGTGAAAATGGCAGCCCTCACCACAATTGAGCTATGATGTTAGTAAGCTGGGCCCATGATTTAAACCAGGCCCTACCTATTCACTTGGTCCATGTCCTTCCTGGTTTCATAGACCTCTATCTTAACTAGCCTTTTTAGTGTCTCCTGGCATGGCAACTGCTACATGCCTCTGATCATTCTGGTTACCCTTCTCTGTACCTTTTCTAATTCTCTTGCATCCTTTTTGAGATGTGGGGACCAGAACTGTCCACAGTATTCAAGATCCAGAGATAAATTTATTGTAGATGAGTTTTTGAGGATTAAAACAATTTTATTGTGAGGTTTTAATATTAAAATATATTTAAAAACTAATTTTAGTGTATTATGTAAGATCTCTACACATTCTTATACTCATTTTTGTTATTCATTTGGTCAGTGGTAGCTCTGTTTTTTTCTGCTTAGTTCCCTGCCACTTTTGGAGTAAGTAGCAGTTTTCCTGTTTGTTTCTTCATGTCATTCTTGAACTAGAAGTCAGCACTCCTTTACATGTCATAACTAGTGGACTTTTGTGCTGAGACAGTCAATATCAGATATATTTGATCTTCATAGAATTTAAATTTAGAAACAATGCATGGGTTGTTTCTGGCAATGTTTACTGCTCATTTCCTACTTCCAATGAACAAAATAAGAATTTTGCCATGAAACCCAATTTAAGTGGAATTAGCAAATTATTTCATTTCAGTCCAACTAATGTAGTCTACGTCATCCAATTATTTGCATGTAATATCTTCAAAGCTGAAGGCATTAATATACCAATTGTTGATATTTGTCATCTCTGGAAAGAAGTGTGGAGGCCCACAAAGAGATGATATATGTGATCAAGACTGTTAACACAGACTGATTATTCTGTGTAACAGGCAACCTAATATTTAGACATTATTAATGATTACATTAGGCTTTTTATTGCACCCAAGATATTGGATGCATAATACCTGAGTCTAATAATTATGTCCAGTTTTCAGGCTCCAGGTAAAAAGAGAAATCTGAATGGGTGGTAACATATCTCATTGTATGTTTCCTTATCAGGCTTGAGTTGTTTGGGTTTTTCCCCTTCTTAATGAGTGAAAGGAAAATATGTAGTTGTTAATTCTTAACGATATGGATAAGTACTTTATAAAAGTATTTATTGTGTGGTTATTGCAATTTTACAGCCTAAAAAACAGCAAAACTTTCCTATGCAGTCAGACCTGCATTTCAACAGAATATATTTAGCTATTTGATCAGATATTAAAATGACAGGAGCTTCAAGAAGAATTCCCTTTTTTATAGAAACAAACAAGCCAAAAACTATTTTGATTGTAATCAAAAATGTATTTTTCTTCATAAAAAAGTTTCACATACTCACTGTGTCTATTCTACAGAATTTGTCCATTTCATTACACCATGTGTCAATTCTAATTTATCTGGTCACTGCAGAAACTCGTGGCTAGTGTGTGTAATACAACACAGGAGGAGGTATTGCTCAGTTCCACTACTCTTACATAATTAAAAAAAATACAGAAAATGTTCTTAGCTACTTGCACTGTTTTCCAGACTCAAAAGTCACACAAAAGTTCTAGAAAATTGAGTAATTGTATTTGGTTGGCACAATACTCGTAGAAGCCAGTGTGTGAAAAATGTTCTTTTATGCTGAATCAGTACATATTCCTCTATGTCAGCAGCAGCAGAGTCTAGCCTTCTGAATTCTGAAGAGTAATACTTTTTTGCCTTAATATTTAGCACAAAGGCTTGTGCTTTTTCTTTCAGAAATTTAATTTTGTAGTATTGGTATTTGATGACATATTACGTGGAATACCTATTACAGTTGCTTTGACTTCAAGTGCTGTGCTTTTTTCTTTCCCTGTGTCCCAAAGACCGATTAGAGGAGGATAAAGCTCGTTGAATGAAAAGGGTTGTTTCTTCAGGTAATTCCTTAAATAACTGCGTCCTACATCGTAGTTCATTTCCTGTGAGATGCAACTGTAGAGATACACCATGCAGATGACTCCCAAAAGAGAACCAAGGCAGAGCAGGAATCCTGTTATGTTGCTCTTTTCATAATCTTTCACTTCAAGATCCAATCCTTTTGTGGTGACATTGATACATTCTTTCTTATTCTGTTGGTAGATAGTCGGAATGTCTATACAAATTCTGTATTCAGTGGATGGATTTAGATGTGTTATATTATATACCTTTATATCAGATGGAATTCGAGCGCTTTGTGCAGCCTGAGAGTTTTCAGTCTTCAGAAAAGCAGTCCATCTGATGCTGGATTTCAGAATTTTAGCTTTTGCTTTCCATGAAACGAGAACAGAATTAGATTTTACATCTTTTATCTTTATACTCAAAGATCCACTACTGTCCTGGGGGAAAGAGCCATCAACCTTAATCATAACTGATTTTAAATCTGCACCAACTAAGTTAGTTGCTATGCATGTATAAAGGCCACTTTCTTTTTGTGTTACATCACTTATGTCTAATGTTCCTTCAGAATGAATGTAGTATTTATCACAAGCAGTATTAGGCAAAAGTTTCTGACCTGATGGTGTTATCCAGTAGATTTCAGGTTCTGGTTCTGCTGTTGCTCTGCAGTGTAAAGAAACATGGCTGCCAGCTTTTAAATCCAGAGTAGATGGGAAACTTTCAGGGGCTATTAGTGGGAGGCAGATTTCCATCATTTCCCTGAAATGTATCTGCCTCACATTCTGGCCTTGAAATTCTGGAGGATCCACACAAAATAATGACTCTGGCTCCATGAATCGAATATTGGTTTTATTCATGTTAATCCAGCGGATTACACAATCGCATCTAATTGGATTACTGTGTATGCTGATTTCCTTGAGGTTAGGCAAAGACTCTATTGTACTACGGTACAGGGCACTAAGTGCATTGCTATTGAGCATGAGTGATTCCAGTTTGGGCAGCTTGTAGAATGCATTTGGATGAATATAAGATAGTCTGGGGTTATTGGTAGCTTCTATTTTTCTCAAATCTGGCAAATTGTCAACAGCAAGACTATCTATAGAAATCAGTTCAGGCATATTATTAATTCCCAGCTCTTTTAGGTGCAGCATATTACTAAAATCTCCTCTTCGTATTCTGTTAATAGGATTCTTATTTAAATCCAAAAATTTAAGATTTGTAACCTTTTGAAGAGCAACATGGGGCACTTTAACAAATCTGTTGTCATAAAATGAAATGCTTTCTAAGTTGTCAAGGCCAACCAAAGCATTATCAGGTATTTCAGTGAGATTTATGCCTGCTAAAACCAGGCTGCGCAGATTGATAAGAGGCTTAAAGTTCATATCTTCGATTCTGATGATTGGATTTTCTCCAATCATGAGAATCTCAAGATTAGGAATAGCTTCAAACCACTTACTGTTGATCATCTGCAGGCTATTTGAATTGAGATGAAGTCTGAGAAGATTATCAAGGCCAATGAAAGCTCCTGGTGCAATTGTAGAAAGTAAGTTGTGATTAATGTAGAGTTCTTGTAAATTTCTGAGTCCAGAGAGACATTCTTCAGGCAGTTCTGTAAGTTTGTTTTCCTCCAGGTACACTGAAAGAAGCCGTGGAAGCTTTCTCAAATTAATATTGGTCACTGAAGATAAATTGTTTTGAGATAAATCCAGACCAGTAAGGTTCACTGGGAAGTCTACTGAGTATTCAATTTTTGCAATATTGTTAGTCTGTAGAAGTAGAACCTGGGTGTCAGCAGGCAGTCTGGTTGGGAAATGTAAAAGGCCTAAATCATTACAGTCTACTGTTGGAGCCTCCAGGTAGACAGATCTTGGTGTGAACCAAGGTCTGACCTCGCATGTGCATGATTCTGGGCAGTTCAATTTTTTTTCTACCGCTTGTACTAGTGCAGTGGTTACTAGGCCAAGTAGAAAATTAATTTTGAGTGGCATGTCCTTCATCTTAGCTCAAGTCTTCACAAAAGTAATGGGCCCTTAAAAATTCCAGATACTGGTTTTGAGTTCATTAAGGGCTGGCCATTAGATAAAGCAAACACTTGCATTTGTCAAGTGATGACTGCCAAAAAAGCAAAAAACTTTCTTCCTGAAAATAAGTGGAAACCTTGCAACCACCTTGTCCAATGATAATAGACATGTTGTAGATATGAGGGTCACTCTCTCCTTGATGACATAACACTGATAAGCTTTGTGAAGATGAAGCATGTATAGATGATCATAAGAGATTAAGCAATTCATTTATTTAATAGTATTAACTTCAAATCCCATGATTGATTAGTATTTGCAGGAATGACAGGATGACCTAAAATAGAAGAAGAGGAAATAATTAGTATAAGAAACTATACGGTTATAAATTAATTTAGCTATCTCTCTCTAATATTAATTATTGCAAGTAAGAAAAGAAAATGACTTGTGGTGTCTAGAGTATAGCAGTGTTATCCAGACAGCATAAATGAAGTTAATATAGTAATATGTCTTTAGACTTGTAGCTTGTCATGTGTCCAGTAGGGAACACTGCACTACAACAAGCTGATGATCCACAAAATACAAAATATAAAACAGAATACATCAGTAAGATTTTTCTACATATTTCTCACTACTTTGGAATATTTTCTTTTTTCCTAGTGTTATCACTAGAAGCAGATTCAGCTCTATTAGCTTTGAAAACTTAACTACCAAGCAATATCCTGCAGAGTATGAATATTTACTTTCTGAACATGAAGTTTAAAAATATAAAGAACATCATTTATATGTAATCAAAGAAAAAAGGAATTATTGCATTAATGTAGCCCCAAAATGAGGGTATTCTGAGACACACCTGTAAGATATTTATACAGTAATATACAAAATTGATAATCCATGGATTTTTATCTTTTTTCCAGTTCTTGTTATAGCGTATATTCAAGGAGCAAGATTAAACTTTTTTGGAAGATAAAATTGGTGGTGGAGTGGGGGGAGTAACTGTTTGTCATACTGGCAAAGTCAGTATAATTACTCCCTTTCTTATTCTTACTTGAGAAAGAATTCAGTTGCACTAAGGAGTAGTAACAGCCAAGTACCTTTATAATTTCTAAAGGGGAAGGGGGAAGAGGGATTGGGACTAAAACAAAAAACCATGTTTAATTATTAAACTCCAGTCTTCACTCTGAGCACTGTGTTCAAGGAGCTCTGCTAAGGAGGTACTGAGTACTCCCAGACTCTATTGACCTCCTTGGCATGGAGGATTCTGCCCTTCTTCATCTTACAGGATTGCTCTTTTAAAATGTATCCTGGCAGATGAAAAAGCTGTGATGTCTTTATACATGAAATGGTTCTCAGACTATCAGGTTCAGGAAATCTCAGTATAGTATTCATGTCAGGACTCAAATGTGTTTTATGGCTGCATCCAGATGAGTGCGGACATTTGTTTCCCTGGGGACAAGTAGCAGTGGCACACCTTTGGCCTCTGCTACATGTCCTCAGGAAACACCCATGCCACATGTGCTCTGGTGCATGGTAGGTTACCCCGAGTGAGGTAGGGGAGGCTAGGGCCAGCAGCTGTGCTGTGGTCCTGGGTGCTTCAGGAAGCTGCAGCCATGGTGATCCATTCCAGCTGTCGGCTGGCCAGGCTTCCGTTTTGGGTAACTTGCAGTGCTGCCACATGTGCTGCCCTGCTTTATTTTGGCCTGGGTTTTTTTTTTTTTTTACCCCGAGATTTCCCGGGGTCAAGCTGTACCCTGCTGCAAAGCAGCAGCATGGGGAATCCCTGCATGTGTGACGTGTGGTGCCACAGACAGGTCTGTGGTGCCACATACTGCAGGTCCATGCTCATTTGAATGCAGTCTAATGAGTCTATGTATTTTTCTTGCCATTTGATTTACCTCCAGTATTAAAATTCAAAATGGCATTGTTTACAACCTGTAAGATAGGGCCAATGTTTCATGACATTGATAAATGCAATTTGAGATGTCGCTGGTACAGACAGACAGAAACATTACATGCTTGGCAAAAGGTTCCTGTCTTCAGAGATGTAAAGCATCTGAAATTTGAACTACATCTGATTTGGCTCTGTCCCTTCATTTGTTGGCATTGAATCCTTATCTGTAAAACTGACTTACAAGTTCCAGATAACTAGTAAATGTTCTGGTCGTGATAAACGTTATCTTAAATTAAAACTGCTGAAGACAGCAAGACAAGCACACTGGGATTTCTTGGTCCTTTTCTTTTTCTACTTTAAAAGAAGTGCCTATTGATCTTGTGTCCAGTATGCTTATCGAAGGTCTAAGTTGCTCCCCATTTCCCCTTGTTTTAATACATTTGCATCTGTATCCTATTTGCATTTCATCTATTCTGTCTCATACATATTTTTCATTAACAAAAATATGTTTTTAATAATTAAAACATATTCCCATTTTGCCTCAGATAAATAGGGTTACTTATTAGCTACCCTTTCCTCTGGTTTACTTATAATACACACTTTGAATACAGTATAAAACTGCAACTGATACACTGGAGAAGATATTTGGCCAATTTTTGAGTACTGCTCCTTGTAGTACATAAATGCAAAGCTGTTTTACCATTTAACTTAAAAATATAAGTGTATTAAAGTGAACAGACAATGTGTGGGATAAACATACAGAAAACATTCTGCTGTTTTGAAATTTTATAATACATATTTATGGAATTGGTCCAGTTCATTCTAAACTGCAAAGAAATACTGGTACAGACTAAATACCCAAAAAAGAATATGTTCCTTCATTTCTTTAAGTAATATAAACTTCAGACCTGCAGAAAAATAAACATATACATGGAAAACATTCATATAACTCACTGCTCATTTAGATCCAGTCCTGCAAGTTGGTGGATGTTTGTGCACTCACTTGGAGTGCTGTGCCACTTACTAATGATCTATGCGTAGGGATCAGTTTGGAAGACTGAGTCATTATAGTTAATTTACGTTACTCAGAGCAGGGTTAAGTTAGGGGCCTGATACAGAAGTCTTCGTAAGGGCTTCAGCATGCTTTCAAGCTTCCAGTGTGACATCCTGATCCAGCAAAGACTTACATTCATGCTTCATGCGGATGAGTGATCCACTTTACTTTGGAGGGATTTTTTTCTGGGCATAGAATGCATGTTTTTAAGCACTGAGTCTTGATTTATCATGAGAAGAGAAGATGCTCTGGAGATAATAATAGTGAAGGAAGCAAGAAATGGACAGGACAAATACTTGTGCAGTAAAATATAAATCAGCTTAATTGTTTGGGGATTTTTGCATATTTTTACATTTTGAGTGTGATTTCAAGGTAGCATAATGGAGAGAGTAACAGATCCCTGGATCGTTAATGTGTGTGTGGGGGGGGGAGGGGGGGCTGGTATCAAATCAAGACACCAAAGCACTGAATAATGTTGTGTAGCATTCATACATTATTTATAAAATGATACATAGAAGGTAAAATGTGACTTGCTCTGACAGGTCATTGTGGACTTTGCTTATGTCAACTGGTTGTATTGATTTTATTTTTTTGTGATTAATTCCTAACCTTGAACAGAGGCCTGTACAAGAGATTTCAGAATGAGATGTTAGCTGTAATTTGCTGTTTAAAAATCTATACCATGCACACATTAGTATTTTGTATTCAATGTTAGAAAGACTAATCACATTTTGTTATTAAAAATGAAGCTTTGAAGAATTAAATGTTTTCTTTCCAATATAAATTTCATAAGGCTTCATTTTTAAAAGGAAAATGAAATTTGTGCACATGCTCTGGGAAGGTGGATATGTTATATGCATATTGGTTGTGTTTTATGCTTTCTGTACCTGCATCAGGTTTGGATAGTGTATCTGGTACTGCATCTATGAAAATAGATACTCAGATATATACTGGAAGCTTTCTTATTGCAGCTAATATGCCCCTGGCAAAGAGGTAATATAGTACCACTTACTGGGTGCATCTACGCATTTATTACTGCACTTTGGTTATGTGCATTATATTTAGTACCTCCTTTGTGTGGTACTAGAAAAAGGCACATTAGGCTATTTTAATGTTCATTAGTGAAAGTGCATTAAAATAGGCTAATGTGCATTAAAGCCCATGTGTAGACACACCCACTATCAACTAATATTTACATACTGAGGAATTATCAAGCTTGTCACTTTCTTGCTGTATGCTGGAAAGTTAAAACACCTGTTTAACATAATGTTATTGATCACAAAGATGGTTTGAAAAGACAGTCTCTCTGAATACTTCTCCTGGTACACTCTCTATTAGATATTACAATTGATAGTTAACAAAGTTGAAACTGAAATCTTGTTACTAATTTTTATTTCATCTTGTTAATGACTAACTTTTTATGCTGAAATACTTTAATAAATACACTACATCTTAGTGCAATCTGATATGGAGCTTTTAGGGGACTGCTTTGCAAGGGGCAAATCCAGAAATTCTTACTTAGTTTCATTCTCTCAGATAACACTGCCAGTTCGAAAGGAATGTTGCCCGTGTAAAGACTGAATAAAACCAGCTATTAACGTTGTTCTAATCAAAATGGATACATTTTAAATTTCTTATTTGAAAAGTAGTAGTAAAAATACAGTGAGATCCAAGGCCTAGGACAGTGGTTCTCAACCTTTCTTAGACTTGAGGCACTCCTTGTTGGACTCCAGACACTCCTCCATAACTCTTGTGAATCAAGCAGCTTCCCATTTCAGATGCTAATTTATTTATTACAGAGCTTACCTCCTTGTGGAGTGGTCAGGGAGAGGGGAGCCACCAATCAGAGAAAACCTAAGCCTACCCTTAAATTTTGACACCTCCTTTATCTCCTCATATTTCCTACAACACCCTTCAAAGGATCTCATGGAGCCCCTGGGTGCGTTAGTACTCTGGATGAAGGTGTTCCCCGGAAGAATGTATATGTCACTTGCTAAATCTCTTACAGAACAGAAGTTCAAGGATTAATGTTTTATTAATAGTTCATTAAAAATGAGATTATTATAGAATTCTTTTTATTTGCTAGATAGCTAAGTGAAGACAGAAATTATCAACTGGCTCTTACTTTAAGTACATTTGCTTATCCAGATCCTTTTTTTTTCAATACAGACATGTAAGAACCTAAAAATAATTCCTAAAACCTACAGACATGTAAAAACCTAAAAACAGTGCATCTTCTGCTGTTTGCTTAAGCCCCTAAGATTCAGATCCATACATATACTTGGGTATTGTGACTCTGAGCACACCTAACATTTAGGTGTTCAGTAGGGCTGTGCGAAGCTTCAGTCACCGCTTAGATTCGGAGGAGATTCGGCCCGATTTGGTGGCTGAATCTCCA